AAGCTAATAACTATCCAATGAAGGGTTGGAAGAGGGTCCTATATACTTAATCTGGCATAGAGAAATTGAAACGATCGGACATCACTCCGCTCTTGCATGCAACGTGGCCAGCGATAGAGTTTTTGAGTGACATCTCATATAGTGACATTTCCTACAACGGGAATGGGGTGGGGCTTATGCAAATTACCCACGACATACCTGTATCGGTAATTTGCTTAACCCCGCCCCCTTTGCATGATTGGSAGGAGACTGAAAATCAAACCCAGGACTGAAGTTCGAAAAGCAAAGGGTAGTGGTAAATGTCCTTTGGAAGGGGTCTAAGGAAGTTTTCGGTACAGAGTGATTATCCTCTTTTTCGTTTTGTTTTTTTTTTAGGTTACACAAACGAAAATTGAGGATGCACCACTTCAGATAGCAGGTGCTCTTCAATCTAGACTTGAAATAATTGGAGTTCAAACATCTGATGCAGGAACGTATACATGCAACGCAACGAATACACATGGCGTTACTAGTAAAGCAATCTCGGTATCGATTACGCAATGATATCGCAATTGACGTTTCTGTAACGCAAAGAAATGTTTACGAGGTAACGCTGTCTCGTATAAGTGACGCAATGGTTGTAGAACAAACACACGCAAAAAAAAACCAGAACATTAAACTAATGATGTAATTAGAAACGAAACAGTTGCAGTTGCTTTTATATGAAACATGTAATTGATGTGCTCGAAGTGTGTAATTGATTGGTTTAAATTTTTTGCATAATCATCTGTTGATTTTACAGTCAACGGTTGAAATTTGAATACTATACCGTGCACATCAGAGGGTCTTGCTAAATTGCTTATTTTTAGGAATGTTATTCACAGACAAATAAACTGTTCCATAAACAATGCATAAATAAGCTTGATTGYTTTTCTTTTGAAGAAAAAAAGACGGTTTTAATTTATACCGGAAGTCAGAATGTTGAGCATGCGCATATCTGACGACCTAGAATCTGGGGTCTTCCGGTTAGTGTGTACCCTGGRTGCCAGAGGTCCGTGTGCCGCACATCATTTAAAGCTGAAGTCTATTAATCCCTTTTTTCTTATTTATTTAATTTACGAGATGAAATAGTACAAGGACGTACGTATTTCTGAAATTTTGTCAGAATATACCCCATCCTTATAATAAATGAGGGTTACCAAATTATTTCTCAGCTGAAAACCAAGCAAATGCATGGTAGCCATCGAAAAGACCGGCGTGTGCGCGCTAGCAGTTCCTAACTCAGGGTCAAATAACACTATTGAAAAAAATCTCGAAAAAATCCAGGGTTGGAGGGGGGGGGAGGGGGCATAAATCCAAAACAAATTTCGAGCAAACACAAAAAAATGCTTGCAGGGATTGCTACAAAAAAAGTTCCTTAAAGATAAATTTCTGCAAATCCCACCCCATCAATTATCTATCGGTCCATCCCTAAGAACTTGCGATTACATCTGTAATTTTCATGCAGTTATCAAAAACCTTTCCTTGACTGGGTACGAGCTATGATAGAGTGAAGTCGTGTGTCTTTCAGCTCTCTGCGAAAATTTACAGTTCAATAAGGTGAATGGCGGAAATCTTACAACAAAACGTCAAAAGAAGAACCAGATTAGATAGATCTTCAACCTCTTCATCAGAGGACAAATCTCCTCTAACTAAAAAGACTAAAAGTGACAAAGGAGAAGAGGACGAAGTTATGACAGCTCTCAACATGGCCGAGGAGCTCAAAGATAAACTCGAAACGATACTAGTGAAGGTCTCAAAAATCGATCTCATCAACGAGACAGTCAAAAGAATAGAAACTTCAATCAGTAAACTCGAAGAAAGGTTGTCAACTGTGGAGGAATCCCAAAAAACCGCCTTAAAAGACATCGAGGAGCTAAAAAAATCTAAAGAGTTTACGGATAATAGCGTGGCATCCCAAATAGTCATAGGAAATTTTGTGGGATCGAATGGCAAGATGAAGCACCATAACGAAGAATACGATCAATTAAAGGCAGAACTAAAGAATTACGATCAACGCATGGATAATCTAGAAACGAAAGACCTGTATTTGGAAGCCTACTCAAGACGAGAGAACATTCGATTTCTTAATATTGACGAAGAGGCGGATGAAGATACAGAAGTCATACCGAGAACCTTCCTACGAGATTGACTTGTTTGACTACGATGAAATTGAGATTCAAAGAGTGCATAGAACGGGAAAATTCAGAGGTCCGAAACCGAGATCAATCCTGGCAAGGTTCATGAGATATAAAGATGTTGAAAGAATTCTCTCCAAAGGAAAAAAACCTGAAAGGAACTGAGTATCACATGTTCACTGATTTACCTCGAGAGATCGTCGAAAGAAGAAGAAGATTGATGCCGACATTAAAGAAAGCCAAACAAAACAAGATACCGGTATCATTCAGTAAATCCATGCCAGACAAATTATATGTTAGAGGAAAAGAGTAGCAAGTAGGTGAAGAACTGATAATTTAAGTTAGTAAAAAATTAAGACCTTCGATTCTAGACTCGAAAATATTTGATAGATGTATCATATATATTAACAACATTCATCTAACATTCTACGATAAACTAGCAAAAAGGCAGAGAGCTGATGACCGGCTTTTGGCTAATAGACAGCCCTAAACAGATGCATATAAGTTTCGTTTTAATTTTTTTTTTTTTTTTTTTTTTTTTTTTTTTTTTTTTTTTTTTTATCTTTTTGTGCATTTTCCTGCGAACTTAATGTCATTTTTTCGACTATCATGGACAATGGAGGAGTTCCATTTTCCTATTATATCTTTAAACGTGCTTGACCTAAGGGAATACAAAGAGAACAGAAAGATCAACAATTGGCTAATCGAACATGATAGTCACAATGGAGTCACATTTTTACAAGAAACGCACAGTCAGACGGATGTAGAAAATGAGTGGTCAAAGAGAACAAGAGGAAAATTGATCATGTCTTACGGAGAAACAAATAGTAAAGGTACAGCTATTCTTTTCGGAAGCAAATTAAATTATGTACTGAAGGAAGAAAAAGTTCAAAGTTATGGAAGGTATGTAATAGTACTTGCCGAAATTCAAGGTAACAATTTCCTATTAATAAATTCGTATCTGCCTAATTTAGAAAATGACCAAGTATCAACAATGAAGGAGATTACACAAACAGTAAATACGATGAACATTCCAATAGAAACTTATATCATGTGGGGAGGAGATTTTAATTTTTGTTTCGACACTCAGCTTGAAGCGTATGGTGGGAACCCTGTACAAAAGATTAAATCAACAGAAACTATCGAAACTATCCTGCAAGAATATGATCTCTGTGACATTTGGACACTGCGTAACCCAAGAGTAAGGCCTCTTCCACACTAATGCGTTTTCGTTTGAAAACGAAGACTTTTCGATGCGTTTTTGCCTTCCGTCCACACTAAAACGCTCGAAAGCGCTGAGCGTTTTCATCGAAAGCGCATCGATTTGAAAACGCTTTCGAAAGTGGAGACTAAACAAACTTGTGTTTTGGCTACTGGCAAAATTAATCGCGTGTTTGGAGCTTAACCTGGCTTTATTTGACCTTCTTTTGACTTCCTATAGAAGAAGGCTGCTGTCCTAAGGACTTTAGTCCTTTCAAGTTCTTCTCATCGTAAAACTCGGGCAAAAACGCCTTATCACAGGCCAAGAAGATYTTGGATTCGACCAGGTCGAACGAGCGCCTGGTGGGACAATTTTCCTTCTGAAGAATGGAAAGGGAACTTAAGAATGTCTTGATCTTCCTTAATAAAGCTATTTCAAACGTGTTGTCGATTTGTTTAAAATTATGAAAACCGCGCCGGTGGGAAATGCAACAAAGATCGCAGACGCTCCTCTTTCAAGCATGCGCAGATTGATGCGCTACGTCACAACGAGTCGTTGATTTCTTTTTAGTATCAGACGAACTTCAACCCTTTGTAGACAAGTGCGATATTATTCCAGCCCCATCTACGGATCACTCAGCCATTACACTAAAATTTAAATCGTTTAARGAAGGAAAAAGAGGTCCATCATTTTGGAAACACAACGATTCGTTATTAGAAAAAGAAACTGAGATTACACAGATAGAAATTTAAAATTGCTGGGTGGAAAATACTGATCTAGTCAATAAACATTATCAATTATCGAAAGAGCTAGAAGAACGGAGTAATTATATAACAGAAGGTATATTATTATTATACATTTTACTAAGTATCTCAATTCTGATCGTACAAAAACAATTATTTAAGGAATCCTTAACTATATATTTTCATATATTTTATGAAGAATTCTCGAAATATTTCTGAATTAAGAATTTTGCGTTTTTCATGCGACATCATGGCGTTCATAATTCTTGTCTCTATAATTTAATGTTCATAGTAATGTTTTTCCAGTATACAAAATGTATAATAAAGCAATTATTGAATTCAGTTATCACATAATATCGTAAATATCAAGACCTCGGCTGTGTTCGGCTTCAGCAGATAACATAGCCTCGGACTTGATAATTTACGATATCATGCTCAACCTCATCCAATAATTGCTTAATAACAAGACCAAAAGCCACATGGTATGAACTAGGAGAAAAGAGCAATAAATATTGTTTAACATTAGAAAAGCGGAATAAAGCAAAGACGCATATAAAGAAATTAATTATCAATGATGACAAAGAAGTCATTGACCCAAAAGAGATCATGATAACAATCGAAAAGCATTACGATGGATTTTTTATGTCAAAGTCGTATAAATCCCAAGAAGAATGTTTAGAATTTAAAAAAAAATACTATGTACCGAAAATATCTGAAGCTGATAAAAAAGCATGTGACCAAAACATTAATATCAAAGAATGTTTCGAAGCGTTAAAACAAATGGGAGCCTCAAAAACCCCAGCAAATGATGGTCTCACAAAGGAATTTTACATTTATTTTTTGGTCGGAATTGAAGGATGATTTAGTCAGTTGCTTGAACGAAAATATGTCATGTGGAACGCTTACACAATCTCAAAAGCAGATCATTAATATCACACTTTTAGAACAACAAGGTAAAAATAACAGATATCTTGAAAGTTGGCGCCCAATAAGCCTCATAAATGTTGATATCAAAATATGCAGTAGGGTAATCCAATAAGTAAGATTCTTCCGCATATAATTACGAAAATCAATCGGGTTTCGTTAGGGAGAACGACTGAAGAGCCATTATTGGTAATACATCTCGAAAAGGCTTTTGACTCCATAAAGCAGAATTTCATCGTGGAAGTCTTGAAACATTTTAATTTTGAGATATTTTATAAATTGGATAAATAGAGGATATTACATGGGCACGCGGAGATACGAATTTTATCTTCGAGTGTTGAAAAGATCTCTCACGAGTGAGCGTAGCGAACGAGTGAGAGATTTTCAACACCATAAAGATAAAATTCCTACCTCCAAGCGGCCATTTAGTATTCTGTTTATTATATAATTATCAATGAAGTATGTTTTGGCTTTTTCAGGCAATTCTTTCCGTGTATTTTCGAATAGCCATCGCAATGGTGTTATTTTCACACGTGAAAATAACATGTTATTTTCACGTGTGAAGATCTCAATTTTCCGAAATAGAGAAAAATAGATATTTCATTGGTAATTATATAATGAATTTCGTATCTCCGCGCGCCCATGTAATATCCTCTATTTATCTTAGAGTATTGGAACGCTCACTCGTGAGAGATTTTTAACACGAGAAGATAAATTTCGTATCTCCGCGCGCCCATGTAATATCCTCTATTTATCTTAGAGTATTGGAACGCTCACTCGTGAGAGATTTTTAACACGAGAAGATAAATTTCATATCTCCAAGCGCCCATGTAATATTCTGCTTATTATATAATTATCCATAAAATCAACT